GTCGCGCAGGCCGGGAGCTCACGCGCACGCCGCCGGGTGATCGCAGACAGGCAGGTAGGCAGGCAGCTGAAAAAAACCCCCTCTGGGGTCCTTGGGTCCTTCCTGGGTCTGTTGTCGCTCAGGCCGGGAGCTCACGCGCCGAAAGAATGGTTTTTAAAAGAAATTAACCAATAACAAATGCTGAAAGGGTTTTGAGGAGACAGGAACACTTCTTAATTGTTGGTAGGAGTTCAGACTGGTGCAACCACTGTGGAAATCAATATGGAAATAGTTTAGCCAACTAGGATTAGAAGTTCCATTTGACCCAGCTATCCCTCTGCTGGGTATCTTCCCCCCCACATTAAAAGAATGGTACTACAGTGATATATGCTCACCCATGTTCATAGCAGCACAGTTTGTAATAGCTAAAACTTGGAAACAGCCCAATTGGAGCCTGGATAAAGAAGAAATGGTACTAGTGATATATGCTCACCCATGTTCATAGCAGCACAGTTTGTAATAGCTAAAACTTGGAAACAGCCCAATTGGAGCCTGGATAAAGAAGATGTGGTATTTGTATGAGTACTACTCAGCCATAAAGAACGAGAAACTAGAAATATTTATAGCTAAGTGTATGCACATTGAGGGCATATACTTAAGTGAAATTAAAGTCACACATATGTAAATACCAAATAGTTTCTCTAGTGTAAAAAACTAAAAGTGTAAATAAGGATCAGAATGTATAATTGATGTTATGTAATAGTAAAAAATGTTTGAAAGAGTAGAGGAAATGGAAGGGGTAGAGGAAAGGTACAAAGGAAAAAGAAAAAAATTGGAAAGGAAAAGCATAGAAACAATGTCTTTGTAAACAGGGAAGGGTGGAGTGGATAAAGGGAGGGCTGGGGAAGGGGGAAAATAAGAATCAAAATAAGTCATGTAAAAGTACAAGATCCCAATGATGAGTGTAACTTTATTGTATACCTAAAATGCACCAATAAACTTAATAAAGATATAAAATTAGGTAGTAATCAGAGCAACTTAATATCATTGGTTTAATTTTTTTTAAAATGTTAAGTAGTTCTTGTCATATTTCCATCCACTAATAACTATTTTCAACACAACGTTGTTACAATATTCAATTCTTTTATATTTACATACATAATGCTGTGTGAATTTGATTTTCTTGTAAGTAAACCATTATGTTAGTTGCTTTTCTCTACTTGCTGAGACAAAAATAAAATTGAAGGGGAAGATGTTTATTTGACTTACAATTCATAGAGGTTTCGGTCTATAATCAGCTGGCTCCAAGTCTGGGATAGCCAAGAAGAACATAGTGCACACAAGGTAACAATGCAACAAGAAATTTAAAAGCATCTCTCTGCCCCTTTTATCTTATTGAGACTACTGGGATTAGGGTGGTTCCTCTCTCCTCACAATGAGGTGTTCAGTGATCACATGCATTAACCCCAGCATCACACATTCTAGATTCAATTACCCGTGAAAAAGAAAGTCCCACCACATCCGAAGGAAGCTTTTGGGGGACATTTAAACACAAACTATAGTTAGCATTATTTGTATGTGTACTGTTATATTGAATTTTACCAATTTTAAGAGGCATCAGTATGCATTTTTTGTATGGATTTAACTTTCTCAAACCATGGGAAGGACTTAGTCATCCTTGACAATTTCTGGTTTTGCACCTTCTCTCCCCAGTGATCAGTGAGGTAGCTAGCGCTGGATATCTGCTCTATATATTGCCTCCTGAGGGCCACCCCCCTATATTAGACATCTTGGTATAACTTTCTAGATTTTTCCCACCCATATTCTCATCCCATGTGACCACCTTTCTGTCACAATCTGACCCCATGGCTCTCCCTGCTGCTTGCTCTAAAGCCATCAATTGCAAAATGACAACTCCCCACAGGATACTTGTTTGGGTAATGTCTTGAGCCCTTCTAAAGATTTCAATTCACAGGTACCTCATTTGTTTCTAGCTAAGAAAGTATCACCTCCTACAAGAGACACTTGCACATTGTCTCAGGAGGCTGACCCTTCCTATTGACCCAATGTCATGTGCTGCCCTCCTCTATAATGGATCCTATAAGTTAAACTGTTTCTGTTATATCACATCTTTCAGTTACCTCCCCCATGTCTCTGCAACACACTCAAACCTAGTTTATTTTTCCAGCGATGGTACTAAAGAGTGCAAATATTAAAAGGAAAAAAAAAAAATAAAAAAACTATTTGCAGGTCAGAGAAGAATCCTGGGGTGTCTCCCGGGGTAAATGATTTCCTGATAGAAGGTCACCTGGTCACAGGTTAAAATCTTGAAAATCGGCCCTTATATCTGTTTTAATAAATATTCTGTGAAAGGCAAACTGTAAACATCTCTGATAAAACTCCTCAGCACTCCCTTAGGGAAGAGATGGAGTTTATAGTTGCTCTCCAGAGAAAGAAAGGTCAAGACCAAATAAGTAACACTAATACTGTGAGAATTCCACCATATACATGGACTTTGGAAGTTTCATCAAAAGGGATCTGGAGCTTTGTACCTTTTAAAATAATTTTCCTTGGGTAATAATTTGTATCTTCACAGAGTAAAACTCATGCCTTTATGTACTTAAGATTTCTTGCATTTCTTGGCCTCATTCTCATTCATGTAAATTGTAATATGTATGCATTATGAATATTGTATTCATTTTTTCATATTTATTCTAATACCTGTGCTTATTGTAGTGGTTTATCACTATTTGTACTATTTTCCTCTATTTTTTGATTGTTAATTTTATTGGTGCATTTTTAGATATGCATAGTGACCACATTCATCATAAGGACTTTGTACCTGTTTATTTTCCAGTCCACTCCTCTCCCTTCAACTTCTCTTCCTGTCTCCCCTCCTTCTTTTACAAAAGTTTTGTTTCTATTTTATTCCTTCTATTTTTTCCCTTTTCCTTTCCTTCTTTTCCCCCATCCCCTTTCTGGTTCTCCTTCTCTATTTTAAATAATGACACAAACTCACTATCTCCAGCATCAAATGCATAATAAAGTGATGCTTTAGAAAGATGTGTGCTTTCTCATTGAGAAGATGTTAATTTGCAGATGTTGAGCTCTTTCTAGATGCCATCTGTGTCTCTCTCTCCTAAAGGTCCTTGATAAAATAAAAAAAAAAATCTCTCACACTTATAGTGCTAAAATTTCCTTTTATTTATTTTCCCTGCTCACATTTACAAAGCTTTCCAAATTCTGTGTCTCTTTGGCCTTCAGTGATGATAGCAGTCATATATTTTGCCTTATGTGCCAAATGGTTTTCATGGGTTATCAATAACAATACAAAAGCTAAAAGACACTGTGCATACTATGCATCATAGGAAATTGTGTCTGCTATGAAAATAAGATATTTTCTTTCAAAATTAGTTGAATGATCTGGTATTTTCCTGGATGTATATTGATTTCCTCCTTAGTGAAAAATTGAAATACATAAAAATTAAAATAGAACATATATTGTTTATTTAATAAGTCTTTTAATATAACATTTTAAATTTTGTTTTGTTCTTTATCATTTA